GTGACCTTGTGGTTGCCAGCACCGTCGTCTATGCTGTATATCAATGTTTTTCATGGCATCAATGCAGCAATGATTTCTGAGTGTTTAATATTAGTTTATGCATTAGTGCATCAAAAGAGCAATTAATCATTGTATTACTTTTAACCACATACAGTCATGCACTAAATTGTCTCATGGCAATTGGTAGATTTTGATTTAGTGGCTAATTTGTATGAATTCTTATTCATATATTTTAGTACTATTTGCTCATCACCCAATGACACTTTGGATTAGAGGTTTAGTTGTTTTCATCCAATTGAAATCTATGTATTTTTATTAATTAACTGCTATTCGGACAATTTTGAAAATAGTTATCTTCTCTTGTTTGAGTGTGCTCATATTTTAATTTTTTGCACAAGAAAAGTGTCATCATTTCTGGTCCCATTCACTTTCATTTTTTAGCCATTCAAAACAGCTCATTATATGTATTGATGTTGCCAATTGTAATTTTCTTATTTTAATATTGTTATTATAATGTATTCTCTTAAATCACAAGCAGTTTGACTGTTTACCAACATTTGTACAATAAGCTCTTGGTGGATGTGCATAAATGTTACTTTCAGGTCTTGCAAACTTTTTCTATTCTATTTTATTTTTTTCTATTCTTGTTTTTATTTATTTTTTTGATGACGTAATGAGTTAAATGAACTTCAATTTTTACAAGCAGCACGTATTTATGCAAGTATTAACGCCATTGTATCTTAAACATGCTGAAACTTCTGGTCTCATTCTCTCCCATTTTTATTTATTTTTTTGTTTACTCAAAACAACACATTATATTGATTAAGGTCCATTTTCTTTAGCCATTCAAAACAGCTCATTTTACCCATTAATGTTGCCAACCGTTATTTTCTTATCATTATATTATTATTTTTATGTATTCTCTTAAAAACAGTAGGTTGTAGTGCAAGTATTTTGACCTTTAATTCACATTTGGTAAAAAGTTAAATGTACTTCAGCTTTTACACACACCACTACTCATTGGTGTCAGTTCCAAAGCAGTGGACCAATCAGAAGAACTCGGAAGTGGGACAAGCTTTGCTAGTTTTTGTTTACAGACACATTAAGTGGTGCTTTTAAGCACAAAGAACCCTATCATACACACAGCTCAATAAGACGATGTGTTTGGCGTTATTTGTTGCTATTTTCAGACCAGCACAACAGTAATTTTCACGTTTTGCACCATATTGTTTAAATAGCAAATCCATTTGCGCCTCTTTGTGGACTTTTAGGCGTGCTGGTCTGAAATGGAGGTGTGTTAAGGCTCATTCTTGGCACATTGCTATTTTGAGGAGCTAAATTAGATTGTGCCATTGACTAACTGGTCAATAATAAGCCGGTCTAAAGTCCAGCACAGGGTGTGTTACTTATACACCTATGTAGGTCCAAATGCTTACACATTGCTTAATACACACAGGATGTACAGAAATACACAATTATTTTTACATATGAAAAAAAATAAAAATAAAATAAATGACTAAAATGTTACAAGAAATTGATTATTTTCTACATAACTTTAAAAACCACTGCCTCCATGCCTTCTTCACCTCGATGGGCTTTTTTAAAGTTTATTCATGACAATTTGCTTTTGTATAATGTATTACTATTAGCAGTATTATTTATTATATGCATATTTATATTTGTTTTAATAAAAACAAGTTTAGATATGTCCACCTGTCGAGTTTTGGAAATGCAATACCATATGGGCCATAAGAATAGGACATTTGTTTGGATGTTTAATTGGATTTTTTTTAACCACACTTCGTTATTATTCGTTTATTTGTTTTCTGCAAATCAAAACTGAATTTAGAAATAGTTTTGGGACAAAACTTTGCGCTTAACAAAGAAATTAAATATGTAGGCTAATGAATGTCTTCATTGGAGTGCGTACAACACAGTTTCCATATCCTCGAAAGTAAAGGAGTAAAAGTAAAGTGACCGAATGGAGGAGGCTTTATCCTCGCGCTGCAGAAGGACTGTTTAACTGTTTTCTCACTAGTGAAGCGTTCAGTTTTTCCACTTACAAAGGTCAACCTGTAAAAAGCAAATGTGTGACACAACTGACTTTTAATAGCAAAAGTGGATTTGCATATACCTTTAATGCTTTTGCGCCATGTGCTTTAGACTTTTTGCCTAGGATGTTAAAATGGAGCTCAAAGGCACATTTTTTATTTATTTATTTATTTTGTGAATGAACACAATAGAAAGAGCTTACTTTCACATTGTAAAATAAGGGGGGTTTTCTAAATCGTTCATCAGAATCACCAATAAAAATGTGTAATCTTTTGATGCTGTTTTTCCATCGACCTTGATATTGTTTTCATTGCATGAGCAAAGCCTGTCTCGTATGGCACTGAGGATGAAATGTGTTTTGTTGGGATTTGTTTAATTTATTTTGCTGTGTTACATTTGGTGAGATAACCGTAATGACACACCTCAGCAGTCACTGTATGCTTTATGCCCTTCTATTTCATATAAAGATGATTGACTTGCTTGAGTGTTTTAAACAGTAAGCAGGAAGGCAATGAATGAGACCAATGTTGTGAATACCAAAACGCTGTGACAACGAACAGGAGCTTCTCATTCTCATTCTGTTTGTTTAATGACCTTGCATGAGTTCTAGATGTATTAAAGCATTTCATGTCAAAGGCAAAGTCTCTTGAGCTACAGTACATACAACTTTTGCCCATGTTTTGATCTTTTACATATATTAAGAGCACTGGTTCTTAATTGTTTTGAGGTCTTCTGTTTCCTTTCCTCCAGTAAACTGATTCAAACTGATAGTTGGTTCAGAAATTAAAATTCTGTCATTGTTTACTCGCCCTTGACATTTGTGTTAGATATATTATTATTTGGATACAATTAAGGGTTTGTAAGGCTTTTAATACTGAAAGTCTTATGCTCATCAAGGCTGCTGATTTACTTCTTGATTGTATTTTAAAACATTTTATTTCTGTTATTAAAAGCTGAAGATTCATCATTCAGAGTCACATGATCCTTCATAAATAATATGCTAACTAAATGCTAATGATAAACATTATAAACAATTGTAGTTGGCGGTTCGTTTTGCTAATAAATCAGGGACTTATGGCCTGTTTCCACTGAATGGTATGGTACAGTTCGGTATGCTTTTCTGGCTGTTTCCACTGTCAAAAGGTCCCTAAAAGCGAACCGTATCATACTTTTTGGGTCCCCTTTCTAAAGGGTACCTGGCACAACAAAAGTGTACCAAAAGGCAGAGCTTGACACGCAGCTGAACACTATTGGTTTACAGCAATACGTCACTAGCTCATGCACAAGCTAGGCTAATGAAAACAAACATTTTTTAAATACATAACAGAGACATTAAACTGTAATAATATAAACATATAATAACGAGCCATGGTCAACCCGAGCTAAAACAAACCTTGTCGTCATTTTGCTAGACAGTCACAAAGCCAAGATGAAAAACAAAAACTACTGTCATTGTTTACAAAGTTGTCTAAAGCGCGAGCAGCTTCACTTTCTAAAGAGAGCTTGCGTCCACGCCTTTATTTGAAATAACAAACTTCTCGAGTTGATGATAATAATGTGCACTTGATTATTGATGTGCTTCTGACATCCAACCCTTTCAGAAACAGACAAACATGAGACTGACGCAGGAAAAAAAACAACGGAGAAGCCGAAAAAAAGGAGCAAATGATTCTTTCAGCAACCTAAAACATGAACAAACAGCCACGTTTAACTACTAACATCACCTTTTGGACTACCATGAACTCAAATGACTGAATTACTTTGTGCCAAGAGGTAACGCACTGGTAAAAATTAAAGATACAGATGAGAGGTTTGCACTGACATTGCCTGTTGTTTTTTTTAACCCAAATAAGCGCTAAATGTGTAGTTTTTCTGCAATTGATAACATTGGAGACTGTAAGGGGCTGTATGTGTTCATAAGTTGCATTTATTTTTTATTTTATATAGTTGCAGACGTTACAGCAGGCTATTTCACACTATAGTTATGTAGGCTACAGTAGGCTATTACTGATCTGCAGTTATAATCAAATCATGATCAACGAAATTTTAGTAATTAACATTTTATATAGTATTTATGTGTATTGACCTTATTCTAAAATGCGGAAGAGCGCCTGTTTTTGCGATTGTCTTAGAACTTCCGATTCAGTCGCCTATGGGAGAAATGACTAGGAATAATAAACGGCAGAAAATGGCCAAACTACTTGCTCAACAAACAAATGTTTGCATGACTACACAGACCAAGTAGCATAATATAATAAGAAAATTTTAAATTGCAACATCAAGCAGCGTAACGAGCAGTTGTTAACGTCAAAAAATAATTGGAAGTGAATGTGACCGGAAGTCGCGAGACAAAAAGATTCAAATGGCAGCGCCCGCTCGACAGCTGAGAATAAGGTGAATAAAGCATCTGTTTTGTGTGAAGTGCTGCTCATATAATATGTGAACGACCGGTACAGCTTTACTTTGACATTTCCTCTTGCGAGAATGACGTTGACTAAAACGTAAGCCTGATAAAGGTGACCCGTACTGACATGTACTGTATTTTACTGTACTACTCAGAGGAAATGGCCCATAAGTTTAAAGAAAAGGAATTTATGATCAATTAATGGACAAACATTTTTTATGCTAAAAATATACTCTAAAAAAAATAAGGTATATAATATTATTATATAGGGTTGGTTTGTCTTTTGATCAAAAAATATTTCTTATAATAATATAATCTTAATATAATAATTGTTTGTTTGAAAAGGCATCAATTCTAAAAAGTATATGATAGTGAGATTAATTTTCTCTTGTTAAAAGAATCAATTTATATGTATAAACAATATATGATTTATTACAACGATTTGAGGGTGAACAAACAATGACAGAATTTTCATTTCGTCCTAACTATCCCTTGCACATTCATGCTCAGAAGAGAGAGCCTGCTTTCGGCAAGGTCCTCTTCCTCAGTCCCATCTAAAGTCATGACCCACCATCTCATAAAACTTGACATTGAATGGCCTATAAAACTCTCTGAGCTGCTCAATGACGTCCTGCTGGATCTGAACGTGAGTCCTGCCCTTGGATTTGCCCAGGCAGCGCGGCTGACTGCTGCTCTCTGGCTTCTTCAGGCACGGGAAACCCTTCGTTCGGTTGAAGTAGAAGTGCTTGTCCGTGATGATCCGCTTGAGGCCCAGAAAGTCCTGCACACGGCCCAGCTCTCCGGCCGGATCCGTGATGAGCCGCTCGCCGCTCACAAAGTGGATCTGGGACAGCCGGAAGTACTGGAGCCAGTTCTCCAGGTGTAGGATGTACATGCCGATGCGGATGGCATTCCAGGACGTGTCCACGATGCCCTGGCTGCGGTTTTTGAAGGCCAGGTCTTCGAAGGAAGGGATGTCGGGTTTTTTGGAGAGGGTTTGTGTGTAATCTGAGATGGCCCTCGTGACTGGATTGCGCACCACTACGATTAACTTGGTTTCACGAGACATGTTGGAGATGCGCCGCGGAGCCTCACGGGTCACGAAGTAACTAGGGGTTTTCTCCATTGTGATTTGGCTGTCCAGCGTCCTTGGCATAAGCCCCCTGTGGGATAAAATGATAAGATGTATTAATTCTTAATAGTGTATGTGTGTACAGTATAAACAAATATATAGTGTTTTACATGCACAGAATGGCAATTTACATTTTGAATAAATGTTATTAGTAGTTTACAGAATAAAACAACAAAATAATGGTTTAATGTATGTAATTAATTCGGGAATCCAGAGAAACTTTTCAAGTGGTCTCTCATATATAGCAATAGTTTATATCTGTGCAGTTATTTGATAAAATATTTTTACCCATATTTTATTTTATTATTCATTTACATCCAGTCATTTATCTGACAAATATTCTACATGCATTTTTTTAGTCTTTAATATAAAGTAGTCAATAAAACAAATTTGAATTATGTTATTATCTTTAATTATTACTCTGAAATAACAACAAAATAAAGAAAAATTGATGTGAGTAAAACAAATAATAAGATGGTATGTACATTTTTATAAATTAATGTATCTAATCTTTTATTTAATGGCATTTCCCTTTTTTTCATTTAATACCTGTGCAACTTGCTTTTGCAACAAAACTAATAATAATAAAATCATAAACATATTCATAATAATATCATAAATGTATATAATAATTATTTGTTAATGTATTTAGTATTTTCCCCACCTTTTCACTATTATTGTTGCTGATACTTAGAACAAAGCACTGACCCACGTATTAAAATTCATCATGCTACTCTCCATACATGCCCCAACAGGCATGAATGATACATCAATTGCTGGGCTGTGCTACTGCTTTTCCAAACAGTTTGATACTGGACATATAAAATGGGTACAAACTCTTTTTGCTTTTTTTTTTTTTAAGGTGTTATTAGCTATGTTTTCATCCACCTACTTTTATGTGCATTTTGCATATGCGCATAAAAAACGGTTGATGGAAATGCCATGATGTGCATACATTTTGAAAATGCGCATTAAAAACTATGATGGAAACACTTTTAGTGCACACATTTCAGTATGCGCATTAAAAAAGGTCATGTGATTTTTGTGATAAGAGATCATGTGATGATGAAAATGTGTGTAAATGGACAAACCAGCCAGCTAAGCACATTGTAAAACATCTGAAATGTTGTTTTGGTCATTCTAAAACGCCCTAACTGTTTCAGTATTAGTTTTATCATATTATTAAATACCTCCAGAATCAAGAGTGTCTGACACCTTTAAACGCCACCGCGCACTCACTGAATTGATAGCCTTCTGAGGCACAAGTCATTTATTAGATGAAGAAAAGATTGACGCAGCTTCTTCTACTGCATCAAATTCTGCTTTTACAGTTATATTTTTACAAATTTGGCGCCAGGTAATTAGAAAGTGACGATTTTGTTCGCTTTGGCTTGTTGGATGGAAACGCTTCTTTATTCGCACATTTTTTATGCAATAATCCAGTTTTGCACAAAAAGTTAATTTGCATCTTTGGATGGAAACATCCTACTGTTATATGCTTTATGTATTTAAAAACACTAAACCCATATAAGTGATTACTATTATAATGTCTTCTTTGAAATAAAGTTTTCCAAAAACCACATACTTTTGCATCATTATAACAAAAACTAATAACTGGCTCACACTGCAATAACACCTGTAAGTAGTATATTTATTTGCTAATTTATAGTACTAATCTAGCTAATTCTATCTTAAATGTGTCAGAAATCAATCATTTCAAAATGTGTCTTAGATTTTTTTTATCAAATAAGATGTCACTCTGGGTGACGTAGTGGCGCAGTAGGTAGTGCTGTCGCTGCACAGCAAGAATGTTGCTGGTTCTAGCCTCAGCTGGGTCAGTTGGTGTTTCTGTGTGGAGTTTTCACATTCTCCCTGCGTTCACTTGGGTTTCCTCCAGGTGCTTTGGTTTCCCTCACAGTCCAAAGACATGTTCTACCGTTGAATTGGATAGGCTAAATTGTCCGTAGTGTATGAGTATGTGTGGATATTTCCCAGAGATGGGTTGCGGCTGGAAGGGCATCCGCTATGTAAAAACCTGCTGGATAAGTTGGCGGTTCATTCTAGTGTGGCGACCCCGAATTAATAAGGGGACTAAGCCGAAAAGAAAATGAATGAATGGAAATGTCACTTTAGTACAAAAATAATGTCCTCTACTTGTATGTTAGTCTACTAACTTTTGTTATTGAAACCAAGTTGTCAAAGCAGCTTGTTTCGGATTTTGTCTCAGATATAATAGTAACACGAAAGACTCTGCAAAAGAAGGTCAACGCCCATTGATAGTTTATTGACCCCATTTAGCCCTGCCCACAAATTATTGCATTTAGTAGGAAGAGACTAAAGCCGCCTTTCCACTGCACACAACATTTGGACGCGACTGTCGGAATACGCCCCCTTGTGGCACTCGCACAGAATTTTCAGTTTTGTCATGCACCATCGGAGAGAAGCTGATCTTGCAGTGTCAGAAATAAAGGAGTACAAAAGCAAGAGTTCACCATGCGTTCACCATGGTTGAATGAATGAATACTAGAAACTCCAAGACGGCTAAAAATATTGGAGGGAATGTGAAAACAACATAAAAAATAATGCTTTATTACTCATTTATAAATGGAAATATATTTTTAATATAGACTTTTTATGACTCAAAAAATAATGGAAAAACTCCTATTTCTCATCTCGTCCGCACGGACCTGCTTAAACAACACTGAAACGCATTACATCCGGTCAGCTGGTTGTATATTGTCTAGTTGCAGGAGTTCAATTATTTCAACGGATCCACAGCTCAATTCGGATCTGAATTTTCCGCATACAAAGATGATTGGAACTCCACGCAGCTCCCAGATTACTCTCCATTGAAAATAAATGACTTCCGGTCTGTCGCTTGTCGTTTGTTGTGTACAGTAGAAAAGGAGTCTGAAGGCCCTGCTGGTTACATTGAATACCTCATGTTCAAACCATCTGCTGTGCCTCACTTTTTTGAGTGCACTGTGCAGCTGCAGTTAAGAAAAGGTCAATTCAGTGTGCAAAAACCGCCTGACGTCACGCACTCCAGCACCAAGACTGCTGAAACAGTGGTTGCGTAGCAACATAAAAGCACAGCACACTGCTGTTTTTAAAGTTACCCAAATGTAATCCTAGTGTTTTCACAACTTTGTGAAAAAAAAATTAAAGATACATTTTTGAATATTCTGTAACACTTTACATCAAGGTCATTGCATTTACTAACATGAACAATGAACGATACAATTTTTACAGTATTTGTTCATGTTAGTGAGTGTTAGTCAATGAAAATACAATCGTTAATTGTTAGTTCATGTTATCTCACAGTAAATTTAATGTTAACAACTTGGATGTTGTATTTACTTGCTTTAGTAAATGTTAAAGATTAATAAATGATGTACAAGTATTGTTCAATATTAGTTCACGTTAGTAAATACATTAAAGAAACCTTTTGTAAAGTGTGAGCGTGTATTCGTGTTGCTTTTGCACAAAATCCATGAATGAAATACTATAAAGGAAATCTATGTAACATTACAGGTAATTGCTGCAGTTGAATAACATACAGATAGAGTTGTTTTGACTAATAAAACCAAAAGACACGATTGCAGCTGTACAGGACATCTACCGAGGTGGCACAAAAAAATGCATTTCACCCGAATCTACCACCCCAGCACTGGTATCCCTGTGTATTAAATATAAATCAGTTTCCTGGACAGATTTACAGCTGGGGCAGATCATTGCTGTAAGGAAATAAAAAATACCATATAGCCATAAATAATTAAAATACAGTCTGAAAAAAAAAAAAAAAAAAAACTGCTATGAATTGTTTTGTTTAAGGGAATCATGCGGCTGTGTACTCCATCATTTTGCCAGATATAGTCATTATAAGCATTAAATCATTGGATTTTTTAAAATAGTGATACTGACAGTGTTAATAAAGTGATTTGGACTTTAGTGAAGCGGGATGATGGAATTTGGGGTAATGGATTCCTTATCCTATTTGCAAAATAGCTTTTGTTTGTTTTTATAGTAATATTTAGCAGCACTGTACTGTGAATGGTGGTAAAATTGATTGATGGCATTGCAGTGAGGATAGATAAATGCAGTGGTCATCGTGATAACTATATGAACATTTATCAAACCCACATAATTACACATAATTACAAGGAAATAAAAACACTGGCCAAGACTATGCTTAGTTGGCTACACTTACAGTGGAAGTTACACAAATATGTATAATGTTCATCAAACATTTATTGATATCATGTAGAATCTAAGTTTTCATTTGTAATCCACACATCAAATCTAAGTTATGAAAAATGTTGCAACAAAGAAATTACAAAAATGTGTTAGCCATTAATATAGCACAATTTTTAACACCCCCGAACTCACAATTTTCAAACCCTGGCAACCTCTATGCTAACAAAAGTATGTTCCTTACGAACTGAAGCATGTTAGTTCATTTTGATGAAATGAAATTGAGGATCATCACATTAACAACTCAATATACTGAATTACTGTCATGCTTTGTTTCTTGATGTTTCTAGTTACAGCTAAACAGCAAAGTTGGCAAAACACTATAGAGCAGTCTTTGAATCAACACAAAATGCAATGATACTTGCTTTAATGTTGCCATTCATCATAATTTTCGTGCCAGGCTTGCCACCCTATAAATATTTTTTTCTCAGACCTGCTCCTGCAACAATACTTGGTTAATATTTGTTCTTCAATGCAATTTATGCATTTTCATAAGTAAATATGAATATTACAACGCTAATCAAAATGTGTCTAAATAAATAGCATGTTTTCTCCTAATTTAAAATGATTAGTCACACAACAAGGTTATTTCAAACACTTAAGCCCCGCTCAGATCACACGCTTTTCATTGTCGATTGCGAAAGTTAAACTTACAAACTTTTAATTCCTTTTTAATATTAAGATATTTTCTTTAAAATCTAAATGTTTATTATCAAGCCATGGGTTTCTTATTAAATACTTTCTTGCCTGCGCTTGCCGCAAGTGAGACGGAGAAAA